ATTTGACTCGCTTGGTTAAACAAATGTGTGTTTTTGTCGCGTTAAGTAAATTTAAGTAAGTTCCCGGTCAACATTTAACGTAACACAGTATTGCTGTTATGTAACCAAGGAGTCACATTGCAATGTAACGATGTTACTAAAATGCAACGCAACAGTTACCTAAAATAATACTAACATAGTTACTGTTCCAAATTAACCAATATGCAATATAACAGTTACGTAACATTGCGATACTATTGTAATGTAACTAAATTACAAATAAGCAATGTAACAACAAGGTAACATTGTGAAATTATTGTAATATAACAAAATTACCAATAAGCAATATAACAAAAACGTAACATTACGATACTATTGTAATATAACTAAATTACAAATAAGCAATGTAACAGTCAATGTTACATTCTTAAAAAAACGTTCGTTATATTTAATTACACTTAAGATAATACCACCCTTTCACGCTGGCATCAAATTCGTGACCTTGGTGTATTTTTTGATAATAAGCTCTCATTTACAACCCATATCAATACTACTGTTGAATCTGCTTTGAAGCTCTTGGGATTTATAATTCGAAATTCTAAAAAAAATTTCAACATCACAACGCTAAAATCTCTATTACCTCATTAAAACAAAACTTGAATATTGCTCTCTTATCTGATATCCACATTATAATGTCCATGTTGTTTACATAGAAAAAGTACAAAGGAGAGTTTTTAAAACTACTTTCTTATAGAATTGATCAGGCCTATCCTACTATAGGAACTGATCAAAATACTTTATTATCACGTTTCAATTTTAAGACCCTACATGCTAGACGCATAGTTGTAAGTTTAAAATTTTTAATAACCAAATTGTCTCCACTTATATACAGAGGCGTAGCAAGGTAACTAAAGGCCCTGGTGCAAAAAAAACTGGGGCCCTAACTGTTTAGGTTTTATCAAGTCAAAATATAAATATATATAAATACTTTAAAGGTACAAAGCTACTATAGTTTATCATCAGCTCTTTATCGTGCAGTGCATGGCACAGCAAAACCGCTTACTTCATGTATGTGCATAAGTGTCTTGTGTGAGATTTAGTGACCGCTTAGGTTTTACAGGTGAAGAGTTGAGGAACGTATACTTGGATTAATAATATTGGTATTAAGCAATAAAACGAAGTAATTCAAAAAGTTTAAGCACGTATGTATGTAAAACACTTTATTGTACATAAAACATTAAAAACAATTTATATACAGATAAGTCATATACAAAGCCAAACATACCCTTAAGGGGTCTCTTCCAGTTATTATATGAAAGTCAGACCTACCTCCTATACTGATGTGTATACTGACAACAAAATAACAATTTAGTTTATATATTTCCTAGCCTTAGTTTTCGCAAAAGTATCAATGACATCTGTTAAATCTAAGCTTGATGCGCCTTGGTTTTCGATTGCTATTAGCGATAAATGTCGGAGTCGAGTTTGGCCTATAGTATTCCTTAAATAGTTTTTATTGTTTTTAATTTGCTAAATGATCCTTCAGCTTCTGCAGAAGAGACAGGAATTGTATGAAACAGTAACATTGCTGTTAATACTTCTGTTAGGTCGCATTCTAGCACTCCATATTTTCTCATTATTTCTGTACAGAATTGGTGAATAGTCAATGCCTTAGTAAGTTCAGGAGAAGTAGGTGGTAAATATTAAGAAATAGAGGAATAGAGGGAGAATAGAGAGCATTTTTGACAGTTATTTTCGTAATTTCAAAGTTCAATATTCAAGTCGTGTTGCAACCTATTTTATTTCAATTCCAAAGGTGGAAGAATTTTTAGCTAGTTCAATACAAGGTTTGGTGGTCAGGGTCCGAGGCCCCCTGAGCTTGGGGGCCCCGGTGCCCTACGGTAGCTATGCCACTGGTCATGTATTAAGTCTTATAAATATTTTAATACCTCGCCTAGGAACTTGAGATTGTAAACTTTTGTATTTCAGTTTTTCAAGAACAAACGTGCTATTGAAATCTCCAGTACAAGTCATGTGCAATAACTTTAATTCTATTTGTGGTAAATGTGATATTTTTAATTCAAGCATTAAGGAAATAGCTTAATGCATATGAGTCATTCCACGTCAAACCGGACAAAAACAGGTGAAAAATGACCTTGAGTTCTCTGATTTTAATATAAATTTTTCTACAGGTTCTTTGGAACAAATGAATAGATAGAACATTTTTTTTTATTTTTATCACCCCTAGTTTAGAAGTTACAAGGGGTTGAAATTTCGCAAAAAAGCCCAAAAACCGAAAACACGGCCTCCTTCAACTGCCTATATCTCCGGTTCTATTCAACCTACAGACTTATCAAAAATGCATTTTGTAGCTCTTGGAAGACACTTTCATGACATATATATTTAATTCCAAGATAATCGACTATTGCATTTTTTATAAACAATTATATTATTCAAACGTGATTTTCGAGACAGTTGTCACTTTTTTAAATTTTGAAAAAAATATCCTATTCCTTGATCGATTCTCTATAAAAACCCAAAATTATAGCTTGGAGGATTGATAAGAACTGGGTCAAAACAGCGACACGGCCTGTGACGCGGCGCGCGGCGTAACCTTACGCCCTTGGGCAAATTGAGAGTATGGGACGCCTAATGTATATTTACATATGTAAAAATCTAGAAATAACCAATCACCTTCTTTTGAGTTAAGGAACATAGGGTAATAAATATAGATATGTGCTTAGTTTAAATCATAAATATAAACAAAGAGAGAAGGTAAAATAACGAAATAAGGTAAACAAAAAATTTAATGAATGTACCTGTGAAAAAATTTAAATGTAAGGTAAGGTAAATAAGGTACACAAAAAGTTTAATGACCAATAAAAAAATAAAACTTTTCTTAGCTTTATTGCTTGGGAAAATTTTAAACTGATATCATTACCTACTTCGACATACGGAGTATATCTTTTAAACTTCGAGTTATAGAGTATAGATATATCTATACTCTATAACATAGAGTTTGTTTTTTTTTATTCGGAATTTGACAACGTCAAAAATTTGGGAGATTAGTTGGCAATTATTTCTTTCATATTGGCAGCAAAACCAAATTATTATTTGTGGTTAAGAATAAAAAAGGTTGGACTGTACTTGTTTATTAAATTTAAAAGAAAAATCAAGTAAATCATAAAACTAAAACTATTACTGATGATTCTACTCCCTCGATCTCTTGTTCAGTGTCTTCTTCCAAGTGAAATACTTTCGAAGCCAGTGTCTGCTGTAGCTTTTGATATTTATGTTGAGAATATCCCTTCTGCGGCAATTTTCGTTTATTAATTGGTGATTCTCCCAATCCAACCAAAGATGCGTTCAATGTGTATATATCCACGAAGTCCCCACTGCTTGTTGAGACCCCATCACGGTCCGGCCCCCGTATTGCACTTGTGCTGGGTTGTGGATCCTCACTTGAAAGCGTAGAACTTTCCTCACTTGTAAGCGTAGAACTTTTACTGGCTTCACTTAGATTGGGCATTTTGACCAGTTTCAGTCGGCATGTGTCACAAATTTTCGATTCCGCTGATGGAGGTTGATTTTCCGGTCTCAATTTTTTTAGCAGCGACGGATTTACATTTCTCAATTTACGTTCACATTTTCTATGGTACCGGTGTTTCTCTAACTTAAACGGGTTGAAACACTGGTGATATAGATTACTCATCATAATGAAGCAAAACACTATGAAAACTTGCAATACAAAACTTTGAAACCAAACACAAGATGTTAGGCGAACACACTTTGGAACGATACTGACCTGAATTGTGTATCTACAGCACCTAATATACCATGGAGAAGTTAGCTGAATATATCACAAAAATAGATAACGTACAAATTCTTCCGAATATAATCCTATAATCCTTTTTCCCTTCAAAAACCAAGCCAATGTTTTCTACCTGCCCCGCACCAAAAAGATGATAATCCTATAATCCCTCTTCTGAAAATTGAAGATATCTTCGACCTAATTTCGTAAACCTATTTCAAACGAATTTTGTACTATAGTAATCAATCGTGAAGTTTATTCGAGCATGTACAATCGTCATTCAATCATGTAAGAATGTGTATTAAATTGCTTGCCTATCATATCACCTGAGGTTGAATCACCCCGAAGCGCGCCAAACAGTGCGCGTCGCGGACGCCACCGGCGTATCCTGTGAATCAATCGCTGTTTTGACCCAGTTCTTATCAATCCTCCAGTCTATAATTTTGGGTTTTTATAGAGAATCGATCAAGGAATACGATGATATTTTTTTCAAAATTTAAAAAAGTCACAATTGTCTCGAAAATCACGTTTGAATAATATAATTGTTTATAACAAATGCAATAGTCGATTATCTTGGAATTAAATATATATGTCATGAAAGTGTCTTCCAAGAGCTACAAAATGCATTTTTGATGAAATCTGTAGGTTGAATAGAACCGGAGATATAGGCAGTTGAAGGAGGCCGTGTTTTCGATTTTTGGGCTTTTTCGCGAAATTTCAACCCCTTGTAACTTCTAAACTAGGGGTGATAAAAATTAAAAAAAATGTTTTATCTATTCATTTGTTCCAAAGAACCTGTAGAAAAAATTATTTTAAAATCAGAGAACTAGTGGTCAGAAAGCTGTCCGGTTTGACGTGGAATGACTCATATATGAATAGTATTAAATTGTATTTTTTTTTGTTATTTTTTTAAAACTCTTGTTAAATTTAAGTTTATTAAAGTACATATATTGTTATGTTTATAAGTGGAAGAATGTAGGGTTGAGTGGAAGAATGATCCATGATCAAACTTCGCCCTTTTGATGTATTACTTTTTATATCAAATAAAGTCGTTTTATTATTATTATTATTATACTTTGTCCTGTAATTGGAGTATTGTTTTCTGTTGGGCAATAAACCATTATTATTATTATTTTTATTTACCTAGCTATATTTTCTGTAAACCCTGTTTAACAAAAAAGTTCCAACTAACTTTTATTTTTGCTTTTAGTACAGGACTTCATAAATAAAAAAAAAATAAAAACTTTTGGAATGCCATTATTTTTTGGTTCAGGATCTCATGATTACAAAGGAGAAAAATACAGATTTCTTGTGTTAGAAAAATATGGTACTGATTTATGGAAGCTTTTTTTAGGAAATAATAAACAGTTTCCAGAAGTAACTGTTTTCCAAATAGCAATTCAGATTGTAAGTTTTTTTTAAATTATTTAAATAAAAGTGCACATTATGGTATTTATTTCGATGTAACATAAAAATTTGTTAAAAATCCCAACTACTAATTTCAATTTTAAGAGGTTTCTCATTGAGTTCAAATATTTCTTATTAAAGTTTCTATCGCTAATATTTCACTTAGTAAAATACTTTTAATATAGTATTGATAACACTTTAGGGAGGTGAAAATATCACAGCTAAACGCTCGGATACGTAAACTTAATTTTTGGTCGTAGATTACAAATCCTAATCATAAAACTAATTCAAATCTTTAAAATATTTTAAAGAAGATTCAATAAAATAGCTATCGTCAAATTGCCAACATTCTTAATGTATAAATAATGTAATAAATATTTAATAATCTAGAATATTGCTCATATAATAAAATATAGTAAAAATAAAAACACCAGTAAAATTAAAACTTAATTTATTAAATAATAATAAGACAAAGGTAATAACAATCACATATTCCACTTGAGATACTTGAACGCCCAAACAATACTTTGCATAGTACCTCCATGTGATAAATAGCTAAAACAATAATAAAGTTACAAAGAACTGCCTGAGTAATTAAAATGGTAAACACTGCACTTATTATAATGATTATCTTCCATATTTTATCCATAAAACATATTTAAACATAAATAAAGTAATAAAATTACAGAACATAAATGTATAGGTTAAAACACAGAATATAAAAAAAACAAGAGTCAACTATTTTTGTTGTCAACGCGCATGCTTAGGAAATGCGGTACAGAAATCACTAAATTGGCTTTTTACAAGACATACAAATCGTACGGGTTAGCGGCCTTGAGGAAGGAAGGAGGAAGGGCAATCTATAAATTAGGCTTTACACAGGTTCTTCTTTCTTAGTGGCCAAAAGCCTTAATGGTCTCGGTTTCAATGTACCATTTTCATGCGCTTTACGAAGCCATCCACCCATAGACACGTAAATTTTCCAAATCTTGGATCACCCTCTCAATGTATTTTACAAATCACAAAATACCTCGCTAAAAGGTCAAAGCTTGTGATATTGTCCAAAAATACCGGTATATTTCTATACCAGGACCCCCATTTTGGCCCTCTCAGGTCTAGAAGGCACTTATATTTCACTCTTTCATAGAGCACTAAAATGGAAGTCCTTTACACAGGTGTTCTGTTAAATCTTTAAGTAGGTCAGCTGCTCTAAGGAAGTAGTTCAACTGAATCTTATTTGACAAAGGGGTCTATATATGACCGTGCGGGAAGGTTGACGTTTTGCGTTGTATGCCTTCTTATCTGTGTAAATATTAAAAATAGTAATTTAATTAATATTAAATATTTTGCCTATTATTAAATTATTAATAAAAATGGGATTTTATAAACAAATAGTGCCGCAAAATAATGACTTCAGTCCTATACAATAATTAATTGTATTTTGGATCAATAAATATTATTATAATAATACTATAGTATTATCATTTAACTGAGATTGGGGCAAATATACATAGTGGATAAGTTGAACCGTCAACTGTGGGAATTAAAAATATGCCTTTGATTTAAAAATATCAAATAATTCATAGTTTCATTTTGATATTTTTAATTCTACATCATTTTTAATTTGAAAGTAAGTGAAATTAAAAATTATTCATGCAAACTTGAATTTTCTGGTCGCTTTGATATCAGAAATTCACTTAAATTAAAAACATCACTTTGAATTAAAAATCTATTAAATTTTCTGGTCACTCTATAGACAATTCACGTGAATTCAAAATATCAGTTTGAATAAAAAATTCACTTGGATTTTCTGGTGACTTTTATATCGTCAATTGACGTAAATTAAAAATATCAGTTTGTATACAAAATTTACTTGAATTTTCTGGTCACTTTCATATCAGAAATTTACTTAAATTAAAAAATATCAGTTTGAATTAAAGATTTCTTAAATTTTCTGGCCACTTTTATAGACAATTCACGTGAATTCAAAATATCAGTTTGAATTAAAAATTCACTTGAATTTTAGTGTCACTTTTTAATTACACATTATTTTTGAGTTTAAAAATAGTTTAATTATAAATATTTTTAAAAAAGTTGACAATTAAAAACATGACTAGTAGTTGCAGTTACAACAAAAATTCTTGATTAAAAAAATACAACGGCGTTCCATAATCACACAACAAACGTAATCAGAATCTAGTTTGGGCTACCGAACGTGAATGGATATTATTTATATATTCTTATTCTTTATAGTTTATTTATATATTAATTTGGTTTATCACTCACTTTTTTCTCACACTTGTTTTTTTATTTGATTCATTTATTCACATTTAATATTATCTTCCAAATGTTTATAACCATTTAATCATTACATTCGTGCTATTAAAATGATATTTAGTTAACTTATGAATTCGTTTCATTCTTCTAATATTTTCCAAGTTTCTTTGATTCATTCATTTATTTACTATTATCTTCCTATTTGCATTTTCCAATTGGTTCTTGCACTATTAACTGTTTCTAGATATCAATGTTATACTTCCATTTTAACTATGCACAATAGGGCAAGGAAGAAAAAAGTTTCGGTTTCGGTTGGGTGCGACACAATACAGATTAGTATTTGCTCTTAGATTTAATTTTCTTAAACTTTGGCGGGGATTACACCTCCTCACCCCATTGACTACGGCCTTGAAATAGGGTGCCGCCCTCAAAAAAGCTTCTAAATAATTCATCTTAACGTTAAGCCGTGCTGCACATAGCTATATCAAAAATATTTCGAACTGGCTGGATTTTGGATATGTTATTTCTGGCGGTATAATAGTCCGGTCAATCTAGACATTCGAAGGTACATAAATTTACAACAAGCTGAAAATCAGTAAAATTGTTCAGATATAATTATAAATAAAATTTTAAAGTTCCCCATAATTCCCCTGTATGGAAAAATTTTTATTCAAGGTCAAAGGTCAAAAAAATGATTTTTCGCGATTTTCGGCAAAACGGTAAATTTTATCATAAAATACCCCAGACAAATATTGTAGATCATGAAATTATCTATAAAAAATGTATCAATACTTTTTTTTCTACGAGCCACCGTTTCTGAGATATAACGATTCGAAAAGTTGTAAAAGTTATAATCGTCATATTATGCACACGTTTCCACGCCACCTATTAGGTAGTGTACTTAGCGCGTTTTTTAACGTGGTTTCCCCAGTAGCCTATTCCACGGGTCAGTTGTGATCCTGTTTAATTTGAAACTATTGCAAAATAACGGAAATTAGCAATGATTGGAAAAGATAAAAGCGATGTAAATTAAAAAAAAATACTGAAGTTAATTAGTCTGATTCGTAACATTTAAATTCTTCTTCTTATTCTTCTACTTGTTCTTGTTCTTCTTCTTCTTGTTCTTCTCCTTCTTCATCTTCATCCTGGGTACAAGTAAATTGCGTCAGTAGCGATGTATCGCATGTCACCTCGTTGGAATTAAATGAATCCTCCACTGTTGGTGATTCAACATTAGAGCACGACCGGCCTTGACAATTCGTACATACCAGAGAATAAAACAGTCCGACTTTTTTGCAACCACATTTAGCACTGCATCCCTTTTTGCAGTTGCAAAAAATTGTGTTCAGCATTTTTTCCGGCGCAGGTGGGAGTAAAGTTAGAACTGGTTCTAATGGGTTGTTGACCAACTTCCAACCCCAGTCTGTAGGGTCTAGCTGATAATCAAGCCACACTTAAACTTGGTAATATACCCGAAAAATATTTTGATGAGCAGCAACTGAGGTTGGAGGAAGACAAGCTAATTGAACTTGTTTTTTATTTTATTATTTTTAACGAAACATGCATATCGATACTTATCAAAGCAGGTAGTTTTTTTACGAGCTCCGTATATAGAAAGAAGAAATCGAATGCCGTTGGTGATAACTTCTTGTCCCGAAGCACCTTTTCCTTGAGTTTGGCCGAAAAATCTCCGCTCATTAAGTTAAGTTAAGTGAAGACAACGGAACGTGCCAAATTTGACGGAAAAATCGAAAAAAAGTGGATTTGGGCATTTTCAACACCGAAAAAATTTGGTCCGCGGATAGGTCTCGTGGGCAGAAAAAAGGATGCAAATTTCGAGTGTCCGCCTTCAATGGCCTCCGAGCTACGGCGCTTAGAAAAAAAAGGATATACAGACTAGCAGACAACGGAAAAAATAAATATTGCAAACGGGCCGGATCCGCCGGAAACTTTTCGATCTTTTTTTATTTTTTTCGAAAAAATTTTAAACGTTTTTTAGGTCGAGAGAAATTTTCGAAATTGGCCGAACGAAATACACGAATCGACGGGTAAAAGACCAAAGTTTGACATACTAAAAGATGAGCTTCATCGAATGAAAACTAATCGGCCAGAAGCCCGTTTAATTTTTGTTGTGTATTTAAAAAAGTTAACCAATTAAAATCCCCGAAATCAAATCGATAAGGTGGCAAATGACAGGTGGCATTTGACAGGGTCAAATGACAGGTGACAGATGACAGGTGACAGATGACAGATCATCTGTCATCTGTCACAGATGTTGTCTCGATGGCGTATAAATTAATTAATTTATACCCAGTCCCTTAAGGGACTGGGTTTTATTTCACTTGATATTCTTATAGTTATAACTTATGTAGGTATATTTTATATTTTAAGTGTAAGTGAAAATGACCGATAGAAAAATATATTAACATATATTAAAACTCTAGAGATGTATATACGTGACGTACTCATGTATATTATGACGATTAGAACTTTTACAACTTTTCGAATCGTTATATCTCAGAAACGGTGGCTCTTAGGAAAAAAAGTATCGATATATTTTTTATAGACAATTTTATGATCTAAAATTTTTGTCAGAAATATTTTTGTGATAAAACTTCCCGTTTTGCTGAAAATCGCGAAAAACTAATTTTTTTGACCTTTGACCTTGAATAAAATTTTTTCCATACAGGGGAATGATGGGGAACTTTAAAATTTTATTTATA